TGGGGTGGGGACATCCTTCCAACACGGAGATGGGTTGGATGGGGATGTCCCTCTGGCATGGAGATGGGTTGGATGGGGACATCCCTCCAACACGGAGATGGGTTGGATGGGGATGTTCTCCTAAGGTGGAGCCGGGTGGGGACATCCCACTATCATGGAGAAGGGATGGATGGGGACATCCCCCTGGCATGGGGACAGGTTGGATGGGGACATCACTCCAGCGTGGAGATGGGTTGGATGGGGATGTTCTCCTGAGGTGGAGTGGGGTGGGGACATCCCTCTGGCATGGAGAAAGGATGGATGGGGACGTCCCTTTGGCATGGAGACGGGTTGGATAGATCCCTCCAGCATGGAGAAGGGTTGGATGGGGACGTTCTCCTGAGGTTTGGTGGAGACATCCCACTATCATGGAGAAGGGATGGATGGGGACGTCCCTCTGGCATGGGGACGGGTTGGATGGGGACAATCTCCTGGGGTGGGGACATCCTTCCAGCATGGAGAAAGGATGGATGGAGACATCCCTTTGGCATGGAGGTGGGTTGGACGGGGATGTTCTCCAGGGATGCATGGGGTTGTCCCTCTGGCATGGAGACGGGACGGATGACCACATCCCTCCGGCACAACGCAAGGTGGGACACGCGGACATCCACTCCGCCTTAGGGTGGGGGACATCCCTCCGGCACCCAGAGGCCCCGGAGGGGGCCACCTCTCCGGCGTGGTTTTTTTTTGGGGGGGGGGACATCTTTTTTTGGGCACAGACGACACCGAGGTCCCACCTGCCCGTTGTTGACGGCCGCGTGCTGCACCGAGCAGGTGAACACCACCATGGTGAGGAACTTGCCGAGCTCCGCCACCGTCTGAAACGAAGACGGGATACCTGGAAGGCGGAAAAGGACAACGAAGAACGTCAAGGATCCCATCCTTCCTCCTCCCACCACCCTTAGGGACATCCCGGAGCACCCATGGGTGCAGGAACACCCTACCCGAAGAGGTCCTGCTCAAGAAACCGTTGACGAAGATGTCCATCACCCACGCCTGCAGCTCAGCGTCCTCCCGTACGGCCGCGTCCTCCTTGTAGTAAAAATCCACGATGGCGGAGACGAACCTACTCGGAGGTGGGATGAAGTTGACCCGAGGTGGTCCCGTAGCACCCATGGGACCACCCGATCCCGGTCGTCACCCACCTCTGGATGGTTTCCCAAAGGATCATCCCATCGTCCCGGTAGTGGTAGTTGGGAATTTGGGTCACGCCGCGTTGGCGGATGTCGTCGGGGAGGCAGAGGGAGGAGTAGGTGACCTTCTCCAAGCCCCGTTGGACCAGTAGCACCAGTCCCTCGTAGGTGGCACCCGAGGACTGGTGGGGAGGGCGGCATCCATGGGTGGCACCGTGGCCTGCCTCCACCCCCCTCCCAGTGCTCCCAGTATACTCCAGAGCCCCCGGTTCTTCCCCAGCTCCAACGCGGTCTCTAGCGTCCCCCAGGTCTCCAGGGCTCCCCAGTGCCCCCAGTATACCCCCCTGTCCCCAGTGCTCTCTTGTGTCCCCCAGCCCATGCTCTCTAGCGTCCCCCAGTGCTCCCAGCATAGTCCAGTGCCCCAAGAGCACAAGTACTCCCCCAGTGCTCCCAGTATACTCCAGCACCATGGTCCTTCCTCAGCTCCGACATGGTCTCTAGTGTCCCCCAGGTCCCCAGGGCTCCCCAGTGCCCCCAGTATACCCCACTGTCCCCAGTACTCTCTCGTGTCCCCCAGCCCATGCTCTCTAGTGTCCCCCAGTGCCCCCAGTATACCCCAGTGCCCCCAAGTGCTCCAAGAGCACAAGTACTCCCCCAGTGCTCCCAGTATACTCCAGCACCATGGTCCTTCCTCAGCTCCGACATGGTCTCTAGTGACCCCCAGGTCTCCAGGGCTCCCCAGTGCCCCCAGTATACCCCACTGTCCCCAGTGCTCTCTTGTGTCCCCCAGCCCATGCTCTCTAGCGTCCCCCAGTGCTCCCAGCATAGTCCAGTGCCCCAAGAGCACAAGTACTCCCCCAGTGCTCCCAGTATACTCCAGTGCCCCTGGTCCTTCCCCAGCTCTGACACGGTCTCTAGCATCCCCCAGGTCTTCAGGGCTCCCCAGTGCTCCCAGTCTACCCCAGTGCTCACAAGTGCTCCCAGGGCACCAGTGCTCCCAGTACCACCCCCCTCCAGTGCTCCCAGTATACCCCAGTGCCCCCAAGTGCTCCAAGAGCACAAGCACGCTCCCAGTGCCCCCAGTATACTCCAGTGCACCCAGTATACCCCACTGTCCCCAGTGCTCTCTCATGTCCCCCAGCCCATGCTCTCTAGCGTCCCCCAGTGCTCCCAGTATACTCCAGTGCCCCTGGTCCTTCCCCAGCTCTGACACGGTCTCTAGCATCCCCCAGGTCTTCAGGGCTCCCCAGTGCTCCCAGTCTACCCCAGTGCTCACAAGTGCTCCCAGGGCACCAGTGCTCCCAGTACCACCCCCCTCCAGTGCTCCCAGTATACCCCAGTGCCCCCAAGTGCTCCAAGAGCACAAGTACTCCCCCAGTGCTCCCAGTATACTCCAGCACCATGGTCCTTCCCCAGCTCCAACACAGTCTCCAGTGTCCCCCAGGTTTCCAGGGCTCCCCAGTGCCCCCAGTATACCCCACTGTCCCCAGTGCTCTCTCATGTCCCCCAGCCCATGCTCTCTAGCGTCCCCCAGTGCTCCCAGTATACACCAGTGTCTCCAGGTGCTCCCAAAGCACCAGTACTGCAAGTACCCCCCCAGTATCTCCCAGTATACTCCACAGTACCCAGTGCTCCCCAGGCCCTGCCCGTGCTCTCTAGTGACCCCCAGGGCCCTCTGTGCTCCCCAGTACCCCCCAGCACTCCCAGTATATGCCCAGTGGTCCCGACTGCTCCCAGGCCACCAGGAGCCCAGGTAACCCCCAGTACCCCCAGTATACTACAGTCCCCCCCCCCAGCTCTCCCAGTATACCGTAGTGCTCCCAGTATATGCCCAGTAGTCCCGACTGCTCCCAGGGCACCCGCAGCCCAGGTAACCCCCAGCCACCCC